TCTCGGGGCTTCAGGGTATCCTCACGGTCACTCCGCGGACAGGAAAACCGACGCGTGCAGTAGGAAACCCCGGGTCCCCGGAATCAGAGCCCAGATCTAGCCCGGCTTCTGCACGAGCGCGCCCGCCGCGGGCTCCTTCCTTGGAGAGCTCGTGGGCACCCGCGAGGGCACCAGCGCTCCGCCGGCGAGGGAGGCTTATCGGGACGGGACTTTAAAAAAAAAAAAGCTCTGGGGCGCCGGCTGGTGTGGTGCACGGTCCTCCCGTGCACCAAAAGGTCTCTGGTTGGGGTTACCGGTCAGGGCACGTGTCCAGGTGTCGGATTTGTACCCCACGGAGGGGAGGCAGCGATGTTTCTCTCTCTCCAAAAAAAAAAAAAATCAATAAAATCATTTTAAAAAATACAAATAACTGTAGGAACAGTTTAAGGACTGCCCCTTTCTTTTTTTTTTTTTTACTCCTTCCTTCCTTTTCCCTGGCCCTGCGGTTTGCATTTTGCTTTGCATTTTGGCACTGGGTCCCTGAAGGCTGGAGTCCATAGTCTCACACTCAGGCTTAAACTGGGGGATTTATTTCCATACCACCAATATAACATGATTTTTTTTTTTTTTAATTTCCAGTTTTACTTGACTGGGTTTTGGAGACATCCCAGTTTAACAAAGGTTTTTCTCACATATATATGCTCAGACGAAAATAATGTTGGAACGTAAACATTTTTTTTCACAATTGTTTATTTAGATGTACTTCCATTCTTCTAGCTCTGTTTTCCCCGTTGCCAGGGAGTAGGAAAAGTGGCTGTACAGGAGGCAAGAAGAGTTGGAGAGAGGGAATGGGGGGGCAAAGAGAGACAGTGTTTAGCTTTAGGGCGGAGTTAGCTGGCGTTTGCACTGGGGACAGTGTGAGCTGCACAGTGAGAAAAAAGTCAGTGTCCTAGACGACTGCTAAAAGTAATAGCTGCTACTTATGGGGCGCCTACTGTGTGCTAAACAAGTCTCATATGTTAGCTTTTATAATCCTTATAACTTCTAGTATTTCTAAACCCTACAAGACAGAAGTCCTTATATCCATTTTACAGTTGAGGGTCATGTATTTTGTACAAAACAGGACTGGGATTCTAGCTCAGGATTGCTTACTCAACATTCTAAGTCCTAGTTCCCGGATATCTATTCCTCAATGCCCCTTGACCCCCCCTTATTATTTTTTATATTACATTGTTGTTTGCACGGGAAGGAGGAAGACAGATGAAGTGGGTAGGAAATTAAGATTTATGTTGCCTGGCTGGGCGTGGCTCAGCGGTTGAGCATCCACCTAGCATCCAGGCGATCGGGGTTCAATTCCCCGTCAGGGCACATGCACAGGTTGCAGGCTTGATCTCCAGTCGGGGGTGTGCAGGAGGCAATCAATTAATGACTCTCTCATCATTGATGTTTCTATCTCTCTCCCTCTCCTTTCCTCTCTCTGAAATCAATAAAGATATATTTAAAAAAAAAAAAAGATTTATGAGTAGTATCTCTAATTCTCACAATAAATCTTTCAGGTAGGTATAATTATCTCATTACAGATGAGAAAACTGAGGCTTAGAGACACTAAATAACTTGCGTAAGACCATGGATGTAGGCCTCCAGGCTATCTGATTCCAGAAGGCAAGCATTTTCTACTGTAAAATGCTGCCTCGAAAGGGGAGGGATGGAACAGTTTCCAGGAAGTAAACTGCATAGAATCCCTTATGACCTAGCTCCTGTGAGTGAAGTGGCCTAGTGACTCATGCCAGAATGTTGTGGAAAGAAGAAATTCCATTTGCAGACATCTCTTATCCAGCAGTTTTTAAGCTTGTCCTTCCTGATGGCTGCTCCACCAGCCCCCACAATCCTGCTTGAAAGCAGCTTCCAGTGCTTGAGCTTCCTCCATGGTGTTTTTCTGAAAGGGCATCACCAAGTCTTCCAAGTCCACCTCTAAGTGAACCTCTCCCTCTGTAGCTCCCCCTTCCTGATCAGCTCTGCCGCTGTGCCTTCAAGACTCCAGATCTTAAATAAACAACCACATCCAGAGCAGCTGGAATTTAGCACCAATATCAAGCATTTGACAGTATCCAGTCTACAGCTCTCAGTGGCTCTACTTAAAGGAGTTGAATTGTTGATTGAAACTGCATCTATCATGGCTCCGGATTTAACAAGAAGCTCAACAATATCTTTTTTTTTTTTAATCCTCACTAGAGGATATGTTTGCTTGTTTATTGATTTGAGAGAGAGAGGAAGGGGGGGAGAGAGAAACACATCAATGTGAGAGAGAAACATCGATCAGTTGCCTCCCCTCTGGGGACCAAACCCGAAACCTGGGTTATATGCTCTGACTGGGAATCGAATTCCCAACCTTTTGGTGTAGGGGACGACACTACAACCAACTGGGCGACCCGGCCAGGGCATTCAGTAGTATCTTGTTGGCCTGCATGGCATGCAAAATGAAGCGGAGTCCACAGAAAATATCTGTTCTATTCACATTAGCCCTACCAGATAAGAGAGATGCGCAAGTTAAAACGTGGGCTGTTCCAAACACTGGAGGCTAAAAGTGCTAAGACTTCATAGAGTTTTATCAGCTTGTTCCTTGTAAACCAAGGAAGCTCTGAATAAAGTTAAACTCTGCATCATAATTTTTCTTGACAAGTGTTCTGCATTATGTGACAGTCTTAACTTTGTGTATATATACACACATTTTGTTTAGTTTTAAAGGGCACTTAATATCCTAGGGGTTATAATTTTGCAAAGGCTAAAATCAAGGAAAATTATAAAACTGAATCCAATGATGATAAAAGCTGACAGGAAATATGAGTTACATTATTCCATTTTGTGTCTATTTCTGCATATTATGAATTTTTTATGTACTTTCGTGATTAAAATTCTAAGCATTATAATGCGTGTGTTTTTGTTTCTTAAAGAATGCTTGTGGTATTGCTTCCCAGATACGTTTAGAAGGGCTGGTTAGACGGTAAAAATGACTAGGAGGGGCATATTTTATGTTTTTCAAATTCCATGGGGTAGATATTTACTAAGACCTACTAGGCTAAATTCATTCCATTGTGGTTAAAGCGTATGCTTTGCATTATTTCAGTCTTTTATATCTTATGGAGACTTTTTTTATTACTTGAATGTGGTCTATTTTGTTATTGGCTACTGCTTGCTTGGCATCTCTTTTTCCATCTTTTACTTTCTTTTTAAATTTTATTGACTTCAGAGAGAGGAAACAAGAGGGAAAGAGAGAAACATCAGTGATAAGAGAGTCACTGATCAACTGCCTCCTGCACGAGCCCCAACTGGGGATCAAGCCCGAAACCCGCGCATGTACCCTGACCAGGAATCAAACCGTGATCTCCTAGATCCTAGCTTGATGCTCAACCACTGAGCCATGCCAGCCGGGCAATATGCATTTCATTTTTATTTCCTCTTACTGGCCTTTTACCTATACTTTTTATTATATTTTTAGTGGTTCTAGGGATTATAATATGCATCCTAAACGTATCACAGTCTATTTAGAATTAATACTGCATTAATAATTCACATGAGAATCTTATTAGATTAAATTTTTATTTACCATCTCATTTGCTATTGTCGTCATATATTTTACATATACATACATAATAAACCCCATACGATTGTAAAAGTCATTTAACAAGGAAGTTAGCAGACCGAGGTGGCTCTTACGTCAGCCAACAGCCAACATGAGCAAGCCAAAGTCTAAGCCTGAGTCAGTTCCCATAAATATCTAGAGGTTAGGAAAGCAAAACTTGAGAACAACCATCACAAAGAGCACTAAGCTTTCCTAAATAGGGAAACTGCTTAAGCTATAACTAATTAAATAATAAAAGACTTTCCCTTAGCTCCTGCTGGTTGAGCCCCCCTAACCACTTCTGATTTGGCACTGGCTGATTTGAATCAGTTTGCTTACATAAACCCTTCAAAAATGTAATGTGCCTCAGTTTGCCTTTTAACAGTGTATAATTACATTTGCCTTAAAGTTACCTCTCCAAGAAAATAAAATATAATTGTGTATAAAAAGAGATACATTCTCTTATTTATCAATCCCAGTTCTCTTCATTCCTTCCTATGGATACAAGTTTACTTCAGCATATCCTGTAGTGCAGGCCTTCTGGCAATGAATTCTTTCAGCTTTTATCTGAAAATGTCTTCACTTTGTCTTCATTTTAATGGATAATTTCCCAGAATATATAATTTGAGATTGAATTCCTTTCAACATTTTGCTCCTTTTAAAAAAACTGATTTGAGAATGAGAGAGACAGACAGGCATCAATTTGTTGTTCCACTTACACATTCAATGGTTGATTGTTATATGTGCCCAGCCAGGGATTGAACCCACAACTTTGTCGTATCAGGACGACACTCTAACCAAATGAGCTATCTGGCCAGGGCCTGTTTTTGTTTGTTTGTTTTGCTTTTATTTTTTTATTAGTATTTTTTTTTTAATGTTTTTATTGATTTCAGAGAGAAGGGAGAGGGAGAAAGGGAGAGAAACATCAGTGATGAGTCATTGATTGGCTGCCTCCTGCACACCCCCTGCTGGGGATCCAATCTACAACCCAGGCATGTGCCCGGACCAGGAATCCAACCTTGATCTCCTGGATCATGGGTCTACGCTCAACCACTGAGCCACACCAGCCAGGCTGTTTGTTTTGTTTTTAAATCAGGCATTAACTTATACTCACATTTCACATAGTAAAACCCTGCCAAAACCCTATAAATGGTATCCCCAAATCAAGTCATTTAACATACAGGGCTGTACTACTGCAAAGTTAACAAAGTGTCTGGGAGTGTCTTGCAGAGGACAAGGGCCAATCACCAACCCCTAATGCATTTCTCTGGGGTTTCATTGCATTTATTTTCCTGTAATCCCTCACTAGTTCATTTCTGAATGACTTTTCCCTCCTGTTAACTGAAAAAAAAACCCACAAAAAAACCTGAGTCATTTTCTTAACATAACCTCTTTGAAAGTGGGGATCATGGCCAGAGCCATGGCGTAAAAGCTACACCGCTCCAATACTAGGATAAGACACAGGAGTTCAGAGGTAATGGATGGATGTAGTCATCAGAAACCTCCAAGCCTTTTAGAATAAAAGCAGACTAATGAGAACTGGGAGGCTGACTTCCTCCTATCTAAAGATGTAATTAAAGAAAGTCTAAACACGGTAGCTCTAATACAAAATATGACATAAATCACCTCTAATAGATGAAAATAAATTAAGGGGGTGCGAGTTCTGCTTAAAATTTGGAGCAGGAATATTGGGAAAGTCACACAATGGGAACATAAATAAATGATAATTGACATCTCATCAAGCACTTACCATGCGCCAGGTCCTCACTAAATGCTTCCCGTGCATTGTTGTCTCATTCAGTCCTCACCCCGCTCCTACTGGTGGGCCCTATGGCAAGGAAATTGACCTTTTAAGAGGTTAGGTAACTTGTCCAAGGTGAAGGGAGTAAGGGACAAAGGCAGACTTTGCACATAGGTCATCAGACTCCAGAGCCACTTTCTAACCACAGACTATCTCTTATTTCACTTCCCCTGGGTCTATTGTCTGGGAGTAAAATGGAGACGGGGCTTTTTTATTCTGAAGGTGGCTTCTGGCTTTAACATCATATAACCCTATGGTGAGCAAAGGCTGGGTGCTTAGATTCCAGCGCAGACTCGGGGTTTAGACCAGAGCTTATGCTCCCCTTGAGTCCATCAGGGCACAGGAGAGAGGACCGTCTCACGGCTGTCACAGTTCCATGGGGATACCTGGGACACTCTTCTACAGCGAAACTTCAGAATGAATGTTTTAGGCAGGACACAAAACTCCTTTTGAATGAATCAATATAAATTTTTGCAAAGTGAAATGAATCCCATGCTGTGAGTTTTCTTCCTGAATGTTAATGAGCTGGAGTTCATTAATTAGCCTCTTCTGAGTTTGCTTAAAAGCTTAAGAGTAAATTTACACTTTCTGAATGTCACGTTTTACAGGCATTATTTTGACTTTTGATTATAAGTCAGAGGATGGGCTAGGCCCATTCTGCAAATGAAGACACTCACCCTACCAGTCCAGACGGGGACCCAACTCTTGATTGTAATATCCATGTTCTTTCCACTGTGTTGGTGGTTCTCTAAGTGTAGTCTGCGGACTCCTGAAGACCGATGAGACAATTTCAGGGGGTCTGTGAGGTCCAAGTGACTAAGATGTGATCTCTTTTCACCGGGTTATTTGTACAAAAACAATGAACTGCTGCACTCTAACATGAGTCTAGCCGGTGGTACCGCTGGGCCTGGCACTCACAGTAGGAAACAAACCCCAGAATGTCCTTAAGGGAGCAGTGGCAATTATTGTTATTAAATCATGATGTGACCCGTACAGGCCACCTCTCCTGGGGCACACATAGTACAATGGGTGTCTCAAGGAAAACCATGTGTGCAGCTGGTTGTGCTGTGAGCTGAACTGCCTGTATTTCTCGTGGAGCATCATTCTCTGAAACAATTACTGACAGCAAACCTGCGGTAGTTCAGACACGGGTATTGGCAGGCATTTTCTTTTTTTTTTTTTCCCATTGCTTTTTAGAGAGTGGAAGGGAGAGAGACACACATCCATTGGTTGCCTCCCCCCATGCTCAGGGCCGGGGAATGAGCCTGCAACCCAGGTACCACCCTTGGCCAGAATCGAACCCAGGACCCTTCAGTCCGAGGGCTGAAGCTCTAACTGCTGAGCCAAACCAGCCAGGGCAGCAAGCATTTTCTTGACTGGGAACAAAGGGGCCTCTTGCTTCGAGAACAACTGATGGTGTTGGTTACAAATGAAAAACTTAGGGCCTTCAGGTAAAATTTTGGACTTCGGCAAAACTTACCTGCTATAGTGAGCTGATAGCTTCCCAACACTTAAAAGACTTTTCTGATGAGATATTTTGCAATATTAATAAATGCCATTTTAAAATATTGCATAATTAAATGTGTCAGCTTTTGGCCCTGGCTAGTGTGGCTCAGCTGGTTGGGCCTAGTCCCGTGCACTGAAAAGTTGTGGGTTCAATTCCTGCTCAGGGCACATGCCCAATTCCAGGATCCATCCCCAACAGGGGCGTGCAAGAAGCAGCTGATAGATGTTTTGCTCTCACATGGATGTTTCTCTCTGTTTCACTCTCCCTCTCTCTCTCAAAAAACAAAAATCAATTTAAAAAACTCTTTCAGCATTTGAAAGATGGCAGATTCCCAGCAAGTTCTGCCTGTGCATCATCACGGTGTCTTCTTGCCCTTCGGTGAGGTACAGCCATGACCTCCCAACAAGGTCTGCTCATAGCTCAGGCGAAGGTGGTGGGGGCTGTATCTCAGCCCCAGGGGTAGTGGCTGCTCCATGTACCAGCTATTCCTATATTTTTTGGAGCTCTCTTTCTTGCCAGCCCCTCATCACTCCAATCCCTGTTAGACTTCATAATTTTCTATTAAGCTTTTCCTGTTTGAATTACTGTGTGGTTTCTTTCTCCTAACTGGGTCTAGACTGATACAGGGGGCCTCAGAAAAACCAACCAGTGAGGTCGTTACTATGAAGGGAAGGAATCTGCCAGTCCCCGTCTTTACAGCAAGAGCTGTCCACCTGACATGAGCGGAGGCGGGAACAGGTTGAAGGAGAAAGTCTGGATCAACTGCTCTTGGGTATAAACAAAGAAGTTGAAAATTAGAACCAGACAGTACCCCCAGTTTGAACAGGCTGTTCTTTCACCTGTGATGTTTCCGTGGCATCATCCCTTCAGGACAGTTAAACTAGTAGGAAGCGAGTGGTCCGACCAACCCAGGTTTGAAGCAGCTAAAAAATTAACTGGTAACGAATTTACCACCACAGTGTCCAAGATGAAGACACCAAGAGGAGACCAGTCCCATAGGAGACACAGAGAGAGCTTGCAGACAGACACTTAGGTTGTCTCTGTATCTTGGCTGTTATAAAAAATGCTGCAATAAACATGGGAGTGCATGTATATTTTCAAGCTAGTGTTTTCATTTTCTTTGAATAAACACACAGAAGTGGAACTGCTGGATCACACAGCTTTGATATTTTGAGGAACCTCCACACTTTTCCATAGGAGCTGCATCAATTTACATTCCCACCAACAGTGCACAAGGGTTCCCTTTTCTCCACATCCTCACGGTTTGTTATTTCTTGCCTTTTTTATAAAAGCCATTCTAACAGGTATGAGGTAATATTCCATTGAGGTTTTGATTTGTATTTCCCTGATGATTAGCGATGTGGAGTATTTTTTCATGTATCTGTTGGCGTTTACTAGTTATCTTGTTTTCCAAACCCTGGAAAGTATGCCAAAAATCCCAGTGCCAAGATCTCATCATTCCAGAGTAGTATTTCTCATCACAAATCAATAAACCACATTCTGATGCACATCAATGTCATGCATATTAAAATTGGACAGCACTTCACTGGTCCAGTAGCTCCCAGATCTAAGAAACTCCATTTGACCAAACTTTGCAACACCAGACTCCAGTCAAGGCAACCCTTCTTGTTCCAGAAAACTTTAATCTCTCGCATTATTGTAAAAAACAAACAAAGATTTGCAATCCTCAACTAAATATGATAACTCAGCATGGACATTTAGTTCAATGATTTTATTTAAAAATCCTCAAAGCTGAAGGAGGGATCTGATCTCTTGTTAGAAGAAAGCAATTTTCACAGTATATATTCAGTCATTTTAGCTTTGTGTGGAATAATAGGAAAGGAACCTTCCATTCATGATCCTCCCTCCAGCACACTCAGCCAGGTGCTGGGGATCCTGCAGCAAGATAACCCATCCCTGGCCTGAACTCATAGCAAATCCTCTCACCCAGGTGAAACAGGAGTTCCTCCCCAGGCATACACACCAGGTCTTATTTTCACTGCTCTACACAGAGCCCTAAGGATCCTTCACTTTAAAGTTGAGAAAAATGTGAAAGGATTTCTCAACTCACTGCCTGCAACAAACCCAACTACTTGTTAATTCTTGACAATTACAAGGATAAAATACTTGAAGTTTGTAAGAGGTTCCACATTTAATAGAACTCAAATATAAAAAATTAGGTCAAGTAACATGTTGTCATGTTTTTAAATGTTACTTAATAAAACTTACTGAAACAAGATGTGCAGTGCTTTCTTGTACTTGGTACTATAAACCGCTTCTGACAAGGGCTTCTGGATGGTCAAAAAATAAAATAAAAAAGAGAACATGCATACTGGTATGCAACAATGCCTACAGGGAATGTCATGTTTTAAATTTTGTTACTAAGATTAAACCTGAAGAAAAAAAAAAGGTCTAGAAAGCAATACACCCATGTTATTGTAAAATGATGAGGTAGATATTTTGTCCTATGCAGTCAAGTGAAGATAAAAAACTGCATATGACTTTCAAATCTTTTTTTTTAAGTTCAGGTTATAGTCACTTTCACAAACAAGGCATTTATAAACTATGAGGTGGAAGGGTCACAGTCAGGCAAGCTCTGTACTTGATGACTTGATGCGTTGTTTCTCGGAGATTCAATAATCAGTCTTGGATCAATCAACTGTTTCCAAAACACAGTGACCTGAGGAAAAACCCAAAATATTCAGTTTAGAGATTTCATTTTGAGGTCCTATAGGTTTTAGTCAGTTAAAAACTTCAGTCAAGGAAATTTCCATTTGTGCAGAATGGCTGAAGACATGGAATGATTTGAGGCTCAAGAAACCGAGTTTAATTAGGGTATAAAAACTTGTTTACCTCAAATGCAGCTAAGTTTTACATTAAGCATACTTCATTCTCTTTGAATGAGAGCAGGGTTTGTGGGAGATGGGGTGGAGTGAGGGGCAGCTGGTTACAAAAGGTCAAGAGGACTTGCCAAAAAGCTTCTGTGGATGGGCAGCCCACAGACCTCTTGGGAGGCAGATGTGGCCCAAAAGGGTTATCACTAGACTGCTGATGCCCTTTTGTGCAGCTCTGTACTTCTTAGCTGCCTAAAATATAGGCGGCATTTCACATTTTACCAAGAAAAAGCAAGCGCTAGCACTTGGCCACGTGGCTGAATGATGAGGGCCATCTAGTGTCCAAAAATGGTAATTACAGGCTCTGCTTCAAGCCTCTGGAAAGGCATAGAAAGGTTGAGTTTTCTCCAACATTGTTTCCAAGAACACATTTCAACAATAAAAATGGGGCTGAATATGTTGAAAATAAAGAAGAACAGAAGACTGGGCTGAATCTGATGATCCTGCCACAGACCCTAAAATGTTTTTGGAATAAATCTCTAAGAGCATCATCTTTCTTAAAGACAAATCAAAGCATAAAGTCTAGTTAGGGTTTCTACATTTCAGAGAAAATGTGTTTGCAATAATCAAACTTATAGGACAATATCCATAATACTTCAAATATAAACACCTTAAGAATAAATTCTATTTACTTTAATGCTAGCATAGCCTAATGAGCCACCCATTGCCAGCAACTAGTCTAGCTGCCTAAAAAGCTCTAAAACATATGCTTCCTAAAATGCCAATTGAAGATTTTTTTTTTTTTTTTAAATATATCTTTATTGATTTCAGAGAGAGGAAGGGAGAGGAAGAGACAAAGATAGAAACATCAATGATGAGAGAGTCACTGATCGGCTGTAGCCCGCAACCTGGGCATGTGCCCTGACCAGGAATCGAACCCCAATCTCCTGGATCCTAGGTCAATGCTCAACCGCTGAGCCACGCCCGGCTGGGCCCAATTGAAGATTTTAACAAAATCAAAAATCATCATTTTTATGTCATTTGTCAAGTCCATCTTTGCTGTTTTTAAGTCAGAATCATGGTAACATCTGAGGGGTAGCGGTGACTACAAGGAGACGCGATGGAGACTTCCAGAGGGGGCTGTCGATGTTCTTGATCTGGGTAGTGGTTTTATGAGTATGTTCATGTGTGAAAATTGTTCAAGCTATACCTACATGTACTTTTCGGAATCTATACATCAATAAAAGAGGGTGTGATCTGTGCATCTTGTCATGAAGGCTCCTTCCTTAAGGTCCAAGATGGTGCCCTAACTAGGCACTTGGCACTGGTATGCCACCCTGTAGGCAGGACAGACACCCCAAGACCCAGATCTTTTATGATTTTAATATAGGCAGTTCAGGAAGCTTCAATATCACCTTCCATCCAGGCAGACCACCAGTAACCAGTCAAGAGAAAATGGATGACTCAGCACTGCCAAGAAGAGCAGCACGCCTACCTTTCTCTCCTGTGTCACAGCATACTCCACGACCTCAGATCCATTTTCGTTGTGATAAACCAAATCGAATTTTCCAGGTTCTTTCATGGCTGAAACTAGATGGTAGGGAGGAGAGACAATAAGTCATTTCCCAGTAGTGAAAACATTCTACAAGCAATTTATATCATTAAATAAACAACCACAAACAAACTGCATTGATGGGGAGGTTGAGTACGCACATGTGAGCATGGAGCGCTCGGTGATGCAAGACCCTGAGAAAACCCTGCACCAGCAGACGGGAGCTTCTTGGCCATTTATCAGAGATGATCTTTCCTTCATTAAAAAGAAATGAGCTTGACACACTATCACTAGTACTCCCAGAAAAGAACGTATAAACTACAAGATAATCCCAAAAGATAACTGATATATTTCAACAAGGGAAGTTAATCTGAATTCTGCAAAATTCTTGTATCTTGCTCTGTCCTCAGAAATTACACATGCTTACTACTTGGTAATATGGCAGTCCTCACTTTGCACAGTAGTGTGGGACCCTAAAAATGACCGTGCAGGCTGAAATCATGCAAAATAATCTTAATAACCAATGGGAAAAATTGTAATTGTTTCATGATCTTTAAAAATTCAGTCAAAACATTAAAACCTTTACTATGTAAGGAAATGAAAAGAAGTAAAGCTAGTCTTTATGTAGCACACTGTAACTTAAAACATTAGAAACACTGAGAATTGAAGTGCTATTTCTTTGTGAGAATCTTATCAAGGGTAGTTTGAACAATACTTGCCTTCTTGTCAGGCAATGATGATACAGAAAGAGAATCTTTTTTATTACTTGCAGAATTGTCATACTCATTCCTATGTCTGGATCAGCTTTCAATATTTTATCCTTTGAGCTTTTAATGCCCTGAAATAGCTCTGAGAGTTTATTTCTTCTTCATAACTCTGGGAAATTTTTTGCTGATATTACTTCTGGGACACCTTCATCCCTTTCATCACAAATACCCTCCTAGTTTATGTCAAGAAGTTCATGTAAACCGCAGTATCAGCATTCCCATGGTTAGCTGCTTCTATAATTTTACCTAAACTTGATTTGGATGTCCCTTTTTGCTTCTCTGTAATGCTTTCATCTCTGTCAGCCAATTCCCTATTTCAATTATCCACTCTGTAAACGTCATGTGGGTTTATCACTGAGGGACAAAGCAGCAACAAAGCTACACACCTTGCTGTGTGTATGGGAACTGAGTAACAGATGTCATCACTGTCAATCACCTGATCAGGTGGCTGACTGTCACACAGTGATCAGGCTATGCCCATGAAATTCAACCATGGATAAACTTCTCTGTCCACCATTCCTAAGAAGGGGGATTTCTTCCAATGAAATCTCATCAGAATAAAGCTGGAAAACCAGTGTAGGTTATAGTTAATCATTTACTTAATATCATAAAGAGACTTTGTTGCAAAACCCTTTTGACTAACTTCTGTGTACTGGAGTTTTCATTATTTTACTCACTGCCTTATTTGAACACAGACAGAAACTAATTAATTGCCTTAGGAGCTGCTAAAGAACAAGGAATCTCCCCTGGTCTCTGGCCAGGGACCCCTACAATACAACCCAAGTTAAACCATATATAGGAGAGCCCTTTCATTCCAGGATTTCAGAACCAATACTGAGAGGGGTGAATCCAGGATAAGGCAGAATGTATAAAGAGTGTGTATATACACAAATACTTTAGACACTTTATTCTGACTTCACTCACAGAAATATGCTCCTTTGTGAATCTTTTTAAATAGAGCTGAATAGATCTTATGAGTCCACCAACTAGAGTTGTCCTTCTTTTATAAATCATATCCTAACATATGTCCACAATTTGCACCATTTTTAGTTTTGAGTTTTTTTTAAGTGATGCAAGAATGCAAAAACTAGCAAGGCAATTTAAGTGCAAAATCTTCCTAGGTTTTTACCAAATTCCTCCCAATCTCTTAGATAGCTGACCCACCCACACAAAACTCAATGGCAAACTTTTTAGCAACACCTCCCTGTCAGCATTCAATGTAGGTTTCATAGAAATAATTCTTTTTGAAATCAATCTGCATCAGTTTATGTAATTTTTATGAAATGATATAATTATAGTAATAAGACCAACTTGCCTAACAGCTTTGGGAACAAATCCAATAACTGCTCTGTGCTGACAGAGGTGGTGGAGAGCACCAGTTAATCACAGAGGCCAGTGTAGACAGCAGCTCCCCTGCACACAGCTCGTTAGAAACCAATGCAGAAATGAAAAGCCTAAATTTTCAGATTCTTTTCTAGAAGACTCACCAGGTAAGGATGAAAGAATTTCGATATCTACTTGCTGCGATTCTGGGTTGTAGCTTAATATTTTTCCTTCCTTTCAAAAATAAAAGTCAAAGTCAAAAATCAACACAGAAAGCATTATGAATATACTACAGCCACTAAAGTGCGCACTTTAAAGTGTTTTAAATGGTGGATTTTATGTTAGGTGACTTTTATCTCCATAAAAACATTTTGTTAAAATAAATCAGCATGTTGGGGAAATGAAACTCCCACACACCAAGACACTATCTTCCCTGATCTTGATCACCCCAGGGTCAGGTACCACACAACTAGGAAAAGCCCATGCAGACCAAAGCCTGCCATTTATCGAAAAGAGCCAATCCTAGATTGTTTCCTGCACCCTGCCTGCCTATCCCCAGGAGACCCCAGTAAAAGCTCTGTCCTAGGGTTTCCCCTCACTCCTGTTTCTGCCTCCTGACCACACCCAGGTGCTTTCCTCCACAGCACTGGAGGGCGTGGCACTGCCCCTCCTCTAGGGAAATGCAAGAAATAAATTCCTCTTCCAATAGCACTGGCTTCTCTGTGTCTCACTCAGTCACCTCCATAAATTAAAATCCCATGGGTACAAATGCAGCAGGGTCAGGGGCTGAGATCACACTCTTTGAAGAGAGATCTGACTTTTGAAGGCAAGCTTGATCAATACAGCTGGTGATCAAGCAGGGTAACAGCATTTGTGGCCAAAGCAAAAAAGTGGAACCAATTTTCTCTCTCGAAATGGTTTTGAAAGCAATTTCAAAAAAGTTCTAAAACTACTGGGAAAAGTTCTTACCAAGATTTTAAGTCTTCCAAGGTATGAACTCAGATTAAATCAAGTCTCCTGTACTTTAGCTCTAATACTATATTAAAATACAAGTATTACCTTTAAAAAAATGAACTTATAATCTGTATAGTACATGAAAATTTAAAAGTATGCATTTTAATCAGATTTTCAACAAAATGCTGAATGGGTGGAAAAGAGAAGGAAGCCTGTAATTCTGTAATCCCACTGCCTGAGTCAAGTGCTTACTGAACTACGAGAACCCTCATACGCCAACAGAAAGTCCCACACAGGCGTTAAATAAGTAATTCCCAAGGATGATGTCTGTGAATTATGCAATTAACTGATAATGCAAAAAACCCACACAGGTTATAATAAGCAGTAGTAATTCACAAATATGTAAAATATATTCCTATGATGAAAACGATCCAATTTTCTGGCTGAGAGCTATTTATTATTTCCTTTCAAAGTTTAAGATATGGGGGAAGAGTACCCAAGTAAGTCTGTGTGCCTAAGCTGATTTTTAAAAATGAGTAAAAAAATTAAATTGCTGCCTGGCCGGGCATGGCTCAGCAGTTGAGTATCAACCTAGGATCCAGATGATCACGGTTCCACTCCCGGTCAGGGCACATGCCCAGGTTGTGGACTCCATCCCTAGTCGGGGGCGTGCAGGAGGCAGCTGATCAATGACTCTCTCATCATTGATGTTTCTATCTCTCTCTCTCCCTTCCTCTCTCTGAAATCAATAAGGATATATTTAAAAAAAAAAAAAAATTAAATTCCTTATTCTCATTCTATATTCTTCCCAAGTGTAAGGAATATAACACTAGAAGACTTCACAGTGATGCCATTAAAAAGTTTACAGTTTGGTAATGTTTTTCTTTCCTACCTTATAGCATTGTTTACTCAAAATAATCTGCATTACCCATAATAGCAATATTAAATATGACTTTAGCTTCTTTACTATATGGACAATTATTTTTATTTTTTTAAATATATCTTTATTGATTTCAGAGAGAGGAAGGGAGAGGGAGAGAGAGAGATAGAAACATCAATGATGAGAGAGTCATTGATCAGCTGCAGCCCACAACCCAGGCATGTGCCCTGACCGGGAATCGAACCCCAATCTCCTGGATCCTAGGTCGATGCTCAACCACCGAGCCACACCCGGCTGAGCTGGACAATTATTTTTAAATAAAAAGTCTTACCTTAGGGGAAAAAAGAAAGAAAAATAAAGGATTTAACATTTAAAAAGAAAAAAAAAAGTCTTACCTTGTAGTCAGAGACATCAGGAGAATAATCAGATGTTAGTTCCAGAAGCTAAAAAAAAAAAAAAAGAGAAAAAGTCCACAAATACACAAGTCCTGCAGCTCCTTTCCCCTACCTCTGAGAAAGCACACAGAGCCCGGCCATGAACCTGTGGCAAAATGGGGGTTCCAGTGGTCTGGGGGAGGGGTGATATGAGTAGCTTTCTTTTATTGAGCACCTGCTAAGACACTAGGCTAAGCCATTTTTATTCATTTAGAAAACAATTACTAGGCACCTATTACATGCTAAGCACAAGAACATGAAAGATATGATCCGGGCCCCGGTTGGCTTGGCTCAGCGGTTAGAGCACTGGCCCGCAGACTGAAGGGTCCCAGGTTCAATTCCGACCAAGGGCACATACCTCGGGTAGCAGGCTCGATTCCCTACATGTGGGAGGCAACCAGTCAATGTGTGTCTTTCATATCGATGTTTCTCTTTCTCTCTCTCCTTTCTACTCTCTGAGAAGCAATGGAAAAAAAATCCTCGGGTGAGGATTAAAAAGAAATACATACATACATACATATATGAACGATCCAGGCAGGAAGGGTGTGTGGGAGTCTGCGTATATATATATACATATATATGTGTGTGTATATATACTGCTAATGAGTAAATTTACTTGGAGGGAGAATAATCTTTTTGTAGTAATTGGTGTTTTTTTTGTTGTTTTTCTTAAATTTCCCCCCCCCACTGATTTCAGAGAGGAAGGGAGGAAAGAAAGAGAGAAACATCGACGACGAGACAGAGTCACTGACTGGCTGTCTCCTGCATGCCTCCTGCTAGGGACCGAGCCCAAAACCTGGGCATGTGCCCGGACCGGGAATAGAATGGAGATCTCCCAGAACATAGGTCAACGCTCAACCACTGAGCCATGCCGGCCGGGCTCTAATTGTTGTTTTAAAACATACCTTAAATGCAATCTTTTCTCCAACTTGGGGGGCAGCTGCTAACAGTGGTAACAGACTGTAGTCCTTCTTGTGTATCTCTACTGGATTCTGAAAAACAGTATTTATTAGTCATGTGACTGTTACTGGTGAGAAAATGTGAACCCATGACATCAATTGCAGACCCGCTGTGGGGAAAGGGAAAGTGGTAAACTGAGAATAAAAACTACTTGCCTGGATAATAGTAGATGAGTTTGTTACCGTTTCATTTAAATGCTGCTGCTTCTGATAGTCAGAGTCTCTATTTAAAACATGGGGAAGAGCAAGTCCCCGTCCTTGACCCTGACCTCTCCCCTGCATGCCCCGACCCCTAACGCCCCTCCAAGAAAGAAGGCTCTCTCCTCTACCCCAACCTCTCCCCAAACTGATGGGGAGAGTCACGTTTGGAGGACCAGGAGCCTGTGATGACTGCCCTGGGACTGGGTAACCTCTTCCTGCAAACAGGCCGTCTGTCTTTTTAAAGGGCCCTGCAGCCTTCTCCAGGGTGCTCTTTGACTCACTGCACTGGTCAACTGAATCCGAACTACTGTCTGAACTAGAGTCTGATGTTTTGGCTGTCTTGTCCTCGATGGGGGCAGAGTTCAAGCCAGTTTTTGTTGCTACTTTGTTTGCAGTTGTGTTTTTTATAGAGAGCCCTTCCTTTGATAGCACAGTTGATACTTTCTCCGAGGACTTTCTGACCTCCAAGACGACACTGCGGAGATCTTTGATGGCTGATTCATGACAAGACTCAGACTCTGAGGAGGAGGTGGGACTGTCTTTCCTCTGAACATCCATGCCACCTTTCCTCTTGGCTCTGACAGAGCTGTTTCTAGCAGGAGAACCTTTTGGAGGACTACACTTCTGGATGGTCTGCTCTTTCACTGTCTGTGCTTTAGAAGACTTGGGATTCTTCGTCTTTTTTCTATTATATACTCGTTTCTCTTTCTTCTTTGGTGATTTTCTTTTGGCCTCTTCATTGTCATCTTCTGTGCCACATGCGGCTTTGTTTTTCCGCCTTTTTTTCTTCCCACTCTGAGCTGTGACAGCTTTTGGTTCCACATCCAAGGTATTCTCACTGTTGTTCTCTCGCCTCTTCCACTGCTTCTTTGAATTTCTGCAATCAGATTCTTCATTCTCTTCCAATGGCAATGACCGCTTCTTTGCTTTTCTAGGTAAGAAATGAGTACCATCACCATTACTGACTAGGACGGGATTCTCAGCGACTTCTCTCTCTTCTAATTTAACTCTATCAAAAGAACAAGAGAGAAAACTAGTGAGTAATTATGTCTCTAGGACGTTGTTACATATACTATGACTGTAAACTGTTTTTTCAGTCAATGAAAAAACATCAAATCACTGAAGGACAAAAGACTCTTTTTGACAAAATGGCTTATATGGCATCACTTATGGTCAACTTTCAAATGACTGCTTTTACTTATTAACTATCTACTGCATCCCAAACATTTTCTATACATTTTCTCTAAACACCACCATGAAGTATCTCTGATTTTAAAACAAATCACAAAATTACAGTTGAGAAAAGTAACTTGCCCAAAATCCAAAGCTAATAAGCAGCAGAAATGGGACCTCAGTTTCTCTAACTTTAAAATCTTTCCACTCTATTATGTTGCGAACCTCAAATAGTGATAATGCCAAGTACCCAATTTTGTTTTTAAATGTGGGCTGCTTTTTTTAAAACTCAGATTTTATTTTTATTTTGTTTAAATTTAGGAAAGTACTAAACAATTTATGTTCTCTGGGTTAGTTACGGTCATCATAAAATTCCATGACATTTTGTTAATTGTATGTGTCAACTTGACTGGGCTATGAGTGCCCAGATACTTGGTTCAACATTGTTCTGGGTGTATCCGTGAGAGTGTTTCAGGATGAGATTAACATTTGAATCAGGCGACTGAGTGAAGCAGCTCACCTTTTCCTAGGTATCCAGCTTGCTGACTTCAGATCTTGGGACCTCTCAGCCTCCGTAATTTCATGAGCCAATTCCTTCTAATAAATCTCCTGCCCATAGCCACGTGTCCATGTCTATACCATCTCCTACTGCTTCTGTTTCTCTGGAGAACCCTAATGCACACATCATCTAAAATTATTTCGCTACAAGAAAGTGATCCTGTTCCTCCATGAACTGGAAACAGCGCATTAGTCTAATATGTGCAGCCCGAAGGTGGACAGCTGAGTGTCCCCAACATCAAGCACATAGTGGGTACTCAAAAATGCCTGCTAAAAGTATACATACTTTCAATACATTTATATCTAGCTATAGGTTTCATCAAGGTTTTTTTTAGTGATCAAGAAAGATGTTGACAATCATATCTGAAAATAAATTATAGCTGGTGAATAAGACCTATTATAAGCACTCTTTAAATTTTTTTAAGGCATAGTAATCCTGTGGATTTATCTCAACGTAGTAGCAGAAAAATATCCTCAATTATCCTCAGGACACACAAATACACAGACACATACAAATCAAGGTAAAATAAACGCTACTTTTATCAGGAATAGGATAAAGAGAGAAATAAAACTCTGAAAGATCAAGGATTTAAATCACAAAACCACTTTACCCTCTGCTCCCAGCTGTGGATGGCAGCATCAAGCAGCAAGGAAGTATTCCTCAAACTGTCAAAATCTAGCTTGGTATCTACAAGCTATCCTGTGAATCTACAAACTACCAGAGAACTTCTGGCATATCAGACTGTTCTTTGCTATTCTTGATCAATTTGTTTTGATTCAAGTTTCAAATCTGAGACAACCAACTAGAACCAAACTTCCCATCAACTTTGAAAATGGTTGCAAGGCTTTCTGTCCCTGTGGTTTATTTAAAATCACTGGAACACAGCACGTGCTGCATCTGGTATATGCAGGACCCCTGCCTTTCAGAGGAGCTTGCAACTCTCACGTGCTTTCAAAAGTAGCCCTTGGGCCCAGCTGGCGTGGCTCAGTGGTTGAGCACCCACCCATGAACCAGGAGATCTCTCTCTCTCTCAAAATCAATTAAAAAAAAAAAAAAAGAGAGATATGCCTGTATACAGAGAAGGTCATGTGAGGAAACAAGGAGAAGGGAGGCATCTATAAGCCAAGGAGCAAGGCCTCAGAAAAAAACAAAACTTGCTAATACCTCAATCTTGGACATCTAGCCCCCAAAACTGTAATTTCTGTTATTTACCCCTGTCTGTGGCATTTTATTATAGCAGCCCCAGCAGACTAATACAGGGACTCTAAGCAAACAGGAAAGTTGGAGGCCACCTTCAGGAGCTCACTGTCAGCAGCCTGGGAGGAGAGCAAGCCAGATTCCAGGGGCTTAAGAGAACAGGCTGTGAGAAAAGGGCCCTGGCATACGAGTATGAAAATGCCTCTCAAGCCTCTAGGGTTGTATCTCCGGATTCCCACAACCTGGCTCCATACTTCATTAGACTCAGCGCTCCCAGCAATCCCAGCAGAATCCTATTGCTGGTCAGACTCACCTCTTTACTAAGTCAGGCTAGCTTTTGCCTCCACAACGGTACTAGGCCATCCAACATTTCCTACCTGTCCTTCAAGATACTTCTAAATTCCCTGACCATTTGTGTTCCCCAATGATCTCTCTTTCCTGAACCATCTTCTCCATATAGCAGCATAATCTAGTATAATTATCCAGCCTGACTGCCTGCATCACACAAGAATATACAGAAGCATGAAGCTAGTGATTTTTGGTCTACTCCAACAATATTAGGTAGCTGTGAAAAAGAGACTGTTTTCTTCTGTAGCTCTGAAGAAAAGTGAATCTGTCAGGGGAAGACAGAGAATGATGGGGGACATGAAACCACAAAAACACAGCAAAACTTTTCCAAATTCTATTTTTTCCTAAGGTCTGCCCCATTTACCACTGAAGCCAGCTGCTGGGGTATTTACTACATGAGACTGGGCATTTGAAGCATTTAGGAGGAATTCTGCCCACCACTGTGCTGTATTTATTATCAGAGCTTTCGTGGTTTGCTTTTGACATTGTTAACGTCATTATAAACCCAGAGGATTCATTAATCGAAGTGTAACTGTGGTTAGCTAGGGGCAAGCTATTCGTTCACTGGGCAGGGGATAGTTCAGAAAGCAAAGTTCACAGGAGAGGATGCAGTCTTCGCAATTCTCACACTATTTACATAGTCCCTGAGTTGCAAAGAAAATGGAAATCTACTCCACAGTGAGTAAAAAAAAGGAAAAAGGAAAAAGGGAAAAGAACTATTTTTGAAATCTGGACTATTTCAGTGTCTTCAGAAACAGCTAACCATTAACAATAAATCATAGTGTTTCTGATTTTGAGAGACACACGCACTTATACTTAAAGACAGGTAACTGTCCCAAATTAAATTCCCTGATGTCCTGAAGAAATCTCATGACTCTGACAAGCCCTGGGGAAAGGGATATTCAACAAAGGACAAGCGAGAGGAAGGATCCTGGTCCTCAGCTCCAGGACTGTTCCGCGGCAGCCGGCGCTTTAAAAAGGAGCCTTCGGTCAATGAGTCCAAGATGCGAGTCCGAACTGAAATGACGACGTCTCACCGGTTCATTGAGACAAGCCAACCACACGCGAGCCGCTCGGACCACGACGGCTCCTCGATACTCGACCCCGCATCGGTTTTAAATTTCCAAAGGCATTCTTAAAACTTGTTTCCCAATTCACATCCCAGACGGTCCCAAACACCCATTTAAATGAGCCGCATGGCGCCCAGGTGACACTCAGAACGACCCCCGTCGGAAGCCTCAGGGGACGTCGCGGGAGCCCGGGGGCTGGACGAGCCTCGAGTTACGCAGTGTTACGCAGAGGACGTAGCGCAGGGATGTCGCGGGGCCCTGGGGCTGGACGAGCCTCGAGTTACGCAGTGTTACGCAGAGGACGTAGCGCAAGGATGTCGCGGGGCCCTGGGGCTGGACGAGCCGCGAGTTACACGGAGGACGTAGGGTGGGGATGTCCTGGGAGCCCTGGGGCTGGACGAGCCGTGAGTTACCGAGTTACGCAGAGGACGTAGCGCGGGGATGTCCCGGGAGCCCTGAGGCTGGACGAGCCGAGAGTTACCGAGTTACGCAGAGGACGTAGCGCGGGGATGTCGCGGGGCCCTGGGGCTGGACGAGCCGCGAGTTACTCGGAGGACGTAGCGCGGGGATGTCTCGGGAGCCTTAGGGCTGGAGGAGCGGCGAGTTACGCGGAGGACTACGCGGAGGACGTAGCGCGGGCATGTCCCGGGAGCCCTGCGGCTGGACGAGCCGCGAGTTAGGCGGAGAACATAGGGCGGGGATGTCCCAGGAGCCCTGCGGCTGGACGAGCCTAGAGTTACGCGGAGGACGTAGCGCGGGGATGTCACGGGAGCCATGCGGCTGGACGAGCCTAGAGTTACGCGGAGGACGTAGCGCGGGGATGTCGCGGGAGCCCTGAGGCTGGACCAGCCGCGAGTTATGCGGCGGACGTAGCGCGGCTGCTCCGCCGCCCGC